CTATTCACACTTAAACACAATTTTATTGTTCTGTATCTTTAAAGTAATATTTTTGTATTTTTTGGAAAATACACAATGGCATAATTTTGACTCGTATACCTAAAAGGTCATAAAACTACTTGTGAGAGGAGAAAGCGACCGCTTGCTTCGAAAAGTCGGATATGACAAAATCTCCGACACAACTCTGCTCGGATTCACTCCGAGGGAGGAGTTGTATCGGAGTAATAACTCCGGAGTGAGTTACTTATCTCTAGTCGGCACTGAGTATAAATTATTCAAAACTTGCTTTATTCGGTAGCAACTCATTAAAACACCCCACCTTGTTTTTATATTAGCTAACAAACTGTTAGTAGCGCGATTGCACGTAAACATTGTGTATATATTTTTCTAATCCATGACTAGAATTAACATGTGTATTTGATCTGTAATGCGAAAGTAAATGCCAAATAAATTTATTTTATTATTATAAGTTTTCCACAGTGTAAGTTAAAATTTTACAAATATTTGTCTTTATAACTAAAATTTACCATGTTAACATGTCTTAGAAAAATTGTATGTGTCCATGTGTGTACATAGATCACTCCAACCTAATATACTTAAGCGTGCAATTCGAATCATGTCTCTACCCATATAGATAAAACTGGAAACAATTCCGACCTAGGAATATTAACCTAACGCGTAGATAATGGTGTCAGGGAATTAAACGGTAGCATGGGCTTATCTGTATTACCTGTAAGATGTAATTAATTTATTACATTAGCGATCGTAGCAATTTCAATATTATCGCGTATACAGAGCACGTGAGTGTTGAAATCGTTGGAGAGCGCTCGTTCGGGTAGGAGGCAAAAGTGGTAGGATATGCTAATATTACCTTGTAGCAAGACAGTTCCAAGTTTTAACCCTAGTTTTGCAGAAACTGATATAAAGCAGTCTAATTTTACTTGAAAAGATTGATAACTAGTGATGCATGACACCGTGCCTTAAAGCAAATTGCAAACGGCTGGGCCTGCCTTTGCCCGAAACTAATCAGCACGTATCCTTTTCAATAGGATTCGAATATTTTTTGAATCACTTAAATCGATTGAACCGTGTTCCCGAAATCGTCGACGAAAATTTGTATGCGAATACACACACACGCAAATACATCATTTTTTTCTAAGGTATGCCAAAATGTTCGGAAACCCTTGAAACGTAAAGATATATAAAAATTTTAATTTTTGTTTTTTTTTCGATTGCTATGACTTAGGACTTCCAATACCGGGATTCCGTAAACTCAATACCGGTATTGATACAAAAATATCGGTATTTCGGGAATAACAGTATGTTGCTAAAAATGGAATTTACGCGATACACATACACAAGTTTTACACTAGGTATGTGTATAGCCAACTCAATTCAGCCGAATATGACACATCGGCAAGATAAAGCGATTGTTTATATATTATATACGATTGCTACCTAACAAATAGAACCATTTATACAAATTATTATTTGACTAATAATGTACTCGTATTATTTCTTTATGACAATTGTGCCGACAAGTGTAGAATGAAAGAAAGCTTTATTGGCTTGTTTTAATCGTACTAAAATTTGGTCTTCGCTTGAAGATGAAACAATTGATTATTTATCTTTTTAAAACGCATATTTTAATAAACATGATTTAAATTATTAATTCAATTTTATTGTTTCCCTAAATACGTAATTCCATGCGAGCCTATTACATGTAAAATATAACATTAATATATATTTTTTTACTTGCACTTTTTTGTATCTATCTACTCCTATTCTCTATGTAATAAAATAAATATTATGTACTCATTTTAGTACAAAAATGATGTTAATATGTCAATATAACAACTGCGGTAAATAAAAATATGACTAGTAATTTTTTCGTTGACAATACCGTTATTAATACCGGGATTCCGATGTTACAAATTCCGGTATAACGATTTTAATACGGTATTTGAAGCTCTTATGATACTACTGGAAGTTAAAAAATGTGTTCTCAATAAAAATAGCTACTTCAGGTTCTACCTTGTGATACGGTGCTTTGAAAATTATTTGAAGTTTAATTGAAGCGTCTACAAAATGCGACTTTTATGTCAAATGTTTAAAGTTCCTTGTGAAAGGATAAAACAAAAGTTATCCATATCTATATAGTTATTTATATGTTGTAAATTGTCTGACCATGAGATTGTTGTAAATTGCCAACAAATATTGTAATATCTGAATATGTTGTAGATAATATAAAAATGCTATAAATAATTTAAACACAGAGCTGGGCTTAACGCTCCGCGGGAAAAAAGGTCCACCACAGATATCTCAGAAACAAGTAGTTAGGAATTTTTTTAACAACAACATTTGAAAGTAGAGAACAAAAGATGTGTAACAGTCATCCTCTTGATTTTTACGACTTTAATATCAAAATATAAACAAAATTATCAAGAGCAATATAATTTTTAAGTATACGTTATCTAGTTGCTTTAAAAGATGTATTGTTGATTTTAATTTAGGTTCAACAGATTTTTTATAAAATCTCTATAAAAGCTGATATGTGGTGGGGTAAAAAAAACAATTGAACCTTTACCTTGGCAAAGGCGTAAACAATAAATAGTAAATGTAAAAATAAGCAGTAAAGAGTAAATAAAGTAAATTAAGTAAAAAAGTAATTTTACAAGAGATAAATTGAATAAATAGTTATTCCAACTCTGCTGATGAATATTTCTGGGTTGAATGCTTTGCTAAGACAAAATACTATATCAAGGTTATATACACTATCATCTCTATAAAAATGTACCCCTGAAATATATATATATATATATATATATATATATATGTTGCATTGGTTAAATAATGTAGCTATTATTTCGCACAATTCCTTCAAATTTATAAGTAAGACATTGAACCTATTTGCTTCCTTACCCCGCCTATGGGAAAAGAAAGAGCAGTCGATAAATGTTTCTAAAACAGCAAAACAAATTCATTCATTCAATGATAAAATAGTTAAGAATTAGAACTGACAAAGTTTTTCTAAAAAAATATTACTTTTTACTTTACTAAGATTTTGCATCATCAATATAAATGCTTGTTTTAAATCATTACAAAAGCCAATGGTTTTAATTATAGCAATGTAATGATCAAAATTGTCAATTAAAATAAAAAAAAAAAATTAATTGTTAAAATTTATTTATTTCTTAATTATTTTTCCCTCTAGTTTTAATTATTGTTGTTAAATTTTTTTTAACTTCACTGGTTTTTAAATTAACGATGGGGCATTTACTTGCACATTTAATTGTTAAAAATTATTTATTTATAAAACTGTTTCAGCAGTTTGCCTTAATCAAATACAATACCATGTACAATCATTATATATAATATGTTCTTTTTGTCTAGGTACAAAGTGGTATGTGTGCGATTTCCTCGGTTGATGTATAGCAATATTTCCATCCCTGCATATCTCGGAGATAGAGCAATATTTTGCAGAATTGCACTATTGCAATTTCAAGCCAAGTTCTCCGTTGACGATCCACCAAAATGTTCGACGTATCTCAAGACGCGCACGTAACAAATGATTTGAACCATTACCTTGAAGCATTACTTTGAACTTTATAAAAGATAAGAGCTATTTCACGTATGTAGATTCTAATAAAGCACATTAATTTATTTCTAACTAGTGGTGTATAACATCGTACCTTATGCACTGCTTAAACTTCCGGGTTTATAGTGTGAGTTAGAAAGGAAAATTAGTATCATTTTCATAAATATTTAACAAGAGAATAACAAGATTACATTTGCGTTGAATTGCTAAATAGTAGTGAATCATTTGTTTTGTTAATAATTTCATAAACAAAAAAATATTGTATGAACCGAGGCCTAGACTTTATATGCGTACAATAAAAACTATAATAATCGCTAACAAGACTAACGCTCGATAGGCCTGCGTAATTTTCACGTTCCCTTCCAAATTTTTCGATAATTTACAATTGCAGAATTTTTTGTGAGATTTTTTCATTCAATTTTATTCTGATGCATATGTATATATATATATATATATATAATATATATATATAATATATATATATATATATATATAATATATATATATATATATATATATATATATATATATATATATATATCTTAATTCTATAACGTTGTCAAGACATATTTATGTCCTTCGCTAGAATCTTCAACCTGAACTAACAGTTTCATGAACAGAAATACGAACACAAAACTATAGGCCGCTGTGACTTCAACGGCCTTTAATACATTAAACCACAAACATTGTTTAAAGAAATTGTTTTATTTTTGATTAGACTCAAGATTACTAACTCTTAATATACCTAAGTTAATTAGATGTGAAACAAAAATTCGGTTCATAGAGAGTTCTTGATATGTTCCTAATT